TATATATATATATATATATATATATATATATACCATCTCTTCTTTATCCATTCTTCTATTGGTGGGCACTTAGGTTGCTTCCATACTTGACTATTATAAATCATTCTGCAATGAACAAGGATTCTTTTTTGAATTAGTTTTTTGGGTTTTTTTGTTTATTTTTGTTTAATTGAATTAGTTTTTTGAATTTCTCCAGATAGATAAATACCCAGAAGTGGAATTGCTGGGTCACATGGTAGTTCCATTTTTAATTTTTTGAGGAACCTCTGTACTGATTTCCACAGTGGCTGTACCGATTCCCACCAACAGTGCATGAGGGTTCCCTTTTCTCCACATCCTTGCCAGCAATTCTTTGATTTATTGATGATAGCCATTCTGACAGGTGTGAGGTGGTATCTCACTGTGGTTTTAATTTGTACTCTAATGATTAGTGATGTTGAGCATCTTTTCATATGTCTGTTGGCCATCTGCATCTCCTCTTTGGAGAAATGTCTATTCAGGCCCTCTGCCCACTTTTTAATTGAATTTTTTTTTGGTGTTAAATTGTTTTTGTTTTTTATGTTAAGAGGTTTTTGGATATTAAACTCTTATCAGATGGATCACTGATGAATATGTTCTTTTATTTGGTAGGTTGTCTTTTTGTTTTGTTGATAGTTTCCTTTGCTTTGCAAAAACTTTTTAGTTTGATGTTGTCCCATTTGTTTATTTTTTTCTTCTTTTTTCTTGTTGTCTTTTCTCTTCTTTCCCTGTTCCCAGGCCATGTGTGTGAAAGTCCCAGATGATCCTGAGCACTTAGCTGCGAGAAGACAGTGGAGGGACCAGTGCCTCATGAGATTTGCCAAACTGAAAAGTCAGATGCCATCCCAATAAAGTTTTTTTGTTTTTAAAAGATTTTTAAATTGATTTTTAGAAAGAGAGGAAGGGAGAGGGATAGAGAGAGTGAAACATCAGTGGGCTGCCTCCTGCACACCCCCTACTGGGTTTCGAGCCACAACCTGGGCATATTCCCTGACTGGGAATCGAACCTGCAACCTTTCGGTAGATGGGATGATGCCCAATTAACTGAGCACACTGGCCAGGACCAGTGAAGTTTTTTTATAATGCTGTCACTCCCCTCACTCGAAGTCCTAGTTGGTGGAATTATAAGGACTTAATCATATTGCTTGAAACAGTGGCAGCCACAGAGGTACTTTGGCATACAAGTCCTGAGCTTGGTCTCTGGTTAGCAGTGATATAGTCACTTTTGACCATACCGTAGATGTGGGTGTCAAAACAGCTCTTGAGTTCTGAGCATTGTTGATTTTCTGCCATCTGGGCAAGCAAATCATCTCAAGATTTTCACTTTTTATTTTTAAGTGTGATTACATATCCTACATTTTATAGACAATGATTGTAGTTTCAAGTCATTTTAATCTGTAGCAAAATATTTTTATAATTATTTCTAATCCCTTTCTGAGTACTCTGTAGCCCTGCATTTTTGAGGCAACTAACTACCTTCATTTTGCCAGTGCTTATTCTGAATAAAAGTTTTTGATTCCATACTGGTGTCCTCTTTCTTCTGATCTTTCTGAGAAACTGTTTGATCCTGATGATTGATGTTTCTTAGAATGACTGTGATAAATGAGTAGGCGGCAAATACTTCATTCTGGGTTCTTTGTCTGTTATTCAGTAAAAATCCACCTATTTGGGCCAATGTTTCCAAAGTGTGTTCCACAGTGCCCTGTGGCTCTGCAATCACCTGTGGGAAACTCCATGGACTGCCTCCCCTTGGGCACTCATGTCTATAGGAAATTAGCGACTCCAAGTTCTGTAGTAAAGATACCTGTTTAACTTCACCCAGTACCCCATCATGTTCTTTGACATGGAGTCTGTCCCTAGCACTTTCTCTCCAAATACTCTGGGAGATTGCACAAAAGTTCCCCCATCCCATAGGGCCAGCATGTCACAGTGACTTTGATCACTGGATGCCTGTATGGGGCCCCTGACAGCTCCCAGTCCAAATGATGCTCCAGCCTTTACATTTCAGGTAACCAGCTTCCCAGCTTCACCCAGTAGGAGATGTCTTCCTCGGAGCCAAGGCTGTGGTGGTGTCGGAACCAGTGTCCCTGATTGGGAACCATGTGGAAGTGGTATTTCCAGATAAGTATGCACATCACTCATCCATCACATGCATTTATTTATTTTATTTTATTAGTTTAAAAAAGTAATTACAGTTAACATACAATATTATTAGTTTCAGGTGTACAACGTAGTGATTAGACATTTATATAACTTTTGAAGCAATCCTCCTGATAAGTCTAATATTCACCTGATACCATACATAGTTATTACAATATTATTGACTATATTCCCTGTGCTGTACTTTATATCCCTGTAACTATTTTTATAACTAGCAACTAGTACTTCTTAATCCCTTCCCCTTTTCACCCATTCCCCCCCCCCC